TCACTGCAGCCTCTACCTCCCAGGTTTATGCAGTTCTCCTGCCTCAGCCTCCCGAGTAGTTGGGACTATAGGCATGTGCCACCGCGCCCAACTAATTTTTTGTATTTTTAGTAGAGACCGGGTTTCACCATGTTGGCCAGGATGGTCTCAAACTCCTGACCTCAGGTGATCTGCCCACCTCAGCCTCCCAAAGTGCTGGGATTACAGGTATGAGTCACCACGCCCAGCCAGCAGAGTGCTTTATTAAACAATGACATTTATTATTTCTCTTCAGGATAATAGGTCTAAGTCTAATTCATTGTCTCTTTATACCCTTATACCTGCCTGATACCTCATAATATATCATAGCTGGTTCAGTATTTCCCCTATTATTGGAAATTCAGGTGGTTTCATTTGTTTTTTATTTGAGGGGTGGGTTGTTTTTTTTTTTTGTTCATTGTTGGGTTTTGCCACTACAAAAAATGCTTCAGTAAATACTCTCAGAAACATGTTCACTTCTATTGATGCTTTTATTTCTGAAGAATAAATTTCTGAAAGTGGGACTACTAGTCAAGGGTTATGAACTTTACACATTTTAACTAGTACTAATGATCCAGTTTCTCACCTAGTGGTGTCTAGAGTACCCCAACATGAAGTGCCAGCCTTGCTTTATATGTTGCCCACTTATAACTTCTGTTGGAAAAAATAGACCTCTTATGAAGAGACTTAAAAAGTGAACTTACCGTGTTGCTAGAGAGAAACTTGCACACCATCATAAGATGAAAAACAGGGCTCTGGCTCCACCTTCTCATTGAAGTGATGCTGTTTATCCTCCCCACTAATCTGCACTCCTCACATGGATCACAGCCCAGACAACATGCAGACAGAGAGGCAGATGCAGAGCTCACTGACTCAGTGAGCACAGCTGGGGGAGATCATTAAACAGACCACTCCTGCCAAACAGCCTGTGGCGGTAGAACACGAAGACTTCCTTGCCTCGCTACATGGAGAAATAATTTTTTTCCTGGAGACCTGTATAGTAGAATAATTACACATAATCTGAGTGCCAGTTATTAAAGAACAGCTAACAGTATTAAAAAGTAAAAGAAAACAAGAGAGAGAGTTAATAAGCTCGGACACTTTGAATACTTCATAAGTTATATCTATGCTACTTCAATTTAAATTCTTCAGGTTAAAACAAAAAATGATTAGACCCTTGAACACGATAGGTGACATCTGCCCACAGTGTGTGCAGGATTTGGGTCAGATTTCCTGAGGTCATTCCTCCCACAGCAAGCGCGTTTTTGATGCCCCCTGTGTTCAGCCCTCAAGGGTGCTGATTGGCCTCTTTTCTCCTTTCCCTGCCTGCCCCCACCCCCATCTATGCCCTCACTTGTGAAATGTGAGTGTGTAGGTGGTATACTGGCCCAGAATTTAATTTGATTTGGGAAACAATTTAAGCCATTCCATGCTCAAGATTTTCTTCCCCCTTCACACACACCCAAAAAGCATCATTAAATAAAATTTTAAACTAATAACCAACAGGTTATTGGTACCAAAAGCAGCTGTTAAAGAAATACCACTTCAAGCCAGGCACTAAGGTTCACACCTATAATCCCAGCACTTTGAGAAGCCAAGGTGGAAGGATCACTTGACCCCAAGAGGTCGAGACCAACCTGGGAAACATAATAAAACTCTACAAAAAATAAAAATTAGCCAGGCATGGTGGCACATTCCTGTAGTCCCAGATATGCAGGAGGCCAAGGTGGGAAGACTGCTTGAGCCCAGGAGGAAGTCGAGGCTGCAATGAGCCACATGATTGCACCATTGTACTACAGCTTGGGTGACAGAGTGAGACCATGTCTCAAAAAAA